GAGGGGAGGAAGGCAGGGGCGGGAGGTGGTTGCTATTTTGGATGCAGAGATCTGGGGACGAGAAAAGCACACGCGCACAGACACACACACACACACACACACACACACCAAGGACAACCCCAAAAAGGACTCACTTTGCCTTGATGACTCAACGCAACTAATAATCATTTCTCTCCTCTCGCTGTGGCGAGTCCCTCCTGCTCCTCCTGCTGCTGCTGCTGCTGGCAGAGGAGGGAGCGATTGAAAGTGACACATCGGGGGCTGCCGCCTCTTCATCGCGATCACAAGCGCCCGCTTCCCGGCTCCTCCTGCCGCCGCTTCTCCTCCAGCTGCCCGGGAGAGCGGCCCCTTGACACGCGGCCTCCCTCCCTTGCGCCACCTCCTCTCTCCCCCGCGATCGATTTTTTTCTCTGCCGGAGGTGTGAGAAGCCGGGCCTCTCTCCCCTCCCCCCAGGAGCCCCCCGCCTCACTTCTTCCCCCGCCCTCCACTCATCACCCCGTTGGGGCAGGGGCTCTGACTCGTGACCGCCAGCAATGCCCTAGAAGACACCCTGACCCAGGACCTGAAACCTCGGGGCTCGAGGAGAAGGGGGACAGCTGGGGGGTGGGTGGGGGGGGAAGGAGAAAGTAGAAAGGAAGAAAACACGAACGTAAAAGAAGGAAACAAGAAAACTTTCCACCCTGGATTCTCTACTTTTGCTCCATGGACAGAGCCCAACTCAGCCAACTTACAGACAGGCTCTAAGCAGTAAGTACAGCAGGAGCGCGCCCACAAAGCCAGCGTGGGGGAGCGCACCAGGCGTTGTCGCGCGGAGCTAGCCAGTGGATTGTCACTTACACTGTGCTCGCACCATGACGGCAGTGCTAAGCAGGAGAGAGGCAGCAGTCCCGGGCCCTCTGGGTGCCTGTGTCCGGGCGGCCCTACCCATGACCCCGGCCTGCAGGGTTGGAGCACGCCGGGCGTGTGGGTCTCGGGGTTGGTTTTCACTGCGCGGGGTAGTCCAGCCTACAACCCCGCTCCTGGGCACGGCGGGCGGGTTCCCCTCACTGATCTGCCTTGCGAGCGCTAAAGCTAGGACGCAAGGCGTGGAGACGGGAGTGGCGGTCGCGGGGCTGGGGAGATTTTCGTGCGATTTTGAACCCGACTTTGATTTGGCTCCGCGTATCCAGGAACGGAGAGGGGGGTTTGCCCCGCGATGTGTTAGCGGCGCTATGGCCAGAGGGGTGCGATCAAGTTGTCGCCTGTTATTTTGCAGACTTGCTCACTTTCATGCACGTTTGCTAACGTCTACCAGCTCCATGGGCAAGTACCCGAGAGCATTTGCAGATCTGGTTGGGATCCTTACGCAGGACGAATTTGTAGAGTGATATTCCGAAGCGAGAGGATGCTTCCGTATATTGCTGTATTAATTCACACTCGGATCCTCACCTTCCCTTCTGTCCGCGTGAACCGGGTTAACTCTGGCCAGGACTTAACACACCTGCCTTTTCCGGAGTTCCCAACTTTCTAAGCTGACCCAGGAGACGTGGAACGTGTAAATGGCTCCGGTAATAAATTAATTTCAATTGAACGAGCAACTCTGGTGAGCCTCTCTGTGCCTGTACTTGTTAATTGCCAGTTTTGCAATGTATTACAGCTACCTGGTTACCAAGCAGTTTAGGGCTTGCATTCTGCGGAGAATGGTTTTGACCCCGAAAGTCGGGTTTCGATTGCTTTATTTGGATGAAGTGATCGGACAAAGATAGTATTCTCTAGTTAACTCCTGGTTATGCCCCCTTTACAAACCTCTGAAGTGTGTGCGTTTCTTTCTCTCTAGGTCCTTGCTCATTTTACTGTGATCTGCCAGTGGGAACTTTGTCGCCAAGTCAAAGTAGCATGGAGCGGAGAAGTGAGAGTCCCTGTCTAAGGGATAGTCCAGACAGAGGGAGCGGCAGTCCTGATGTCAAAGGTCCTCCCCCAGTGAAGGTGGCCAGACTCGAGCAGAATGGCAGTCCTATGGGAACCCGAGGGAGGCCCAATGGCTCTGTGACCAAATCAGTGGGAGGTAACCATCCAGTAGTATTAATGTATACATAACAGACTGGCAGCTGAATCACAATGGCATAGAGTCAGGGTTCATGTTGATTAAGTTTTCTGTCTGGTGTAGGATTACAGGAAGTGGATTGCAAATTGTCAATGTCCCACTTGCCCCTCATCAGAAACTAGCAGTCTCCTTTACTGTTAAATAGAAAAAGTGGTTTATCCAGAAGGTGGCATTTTTTTTTGGGCATGTTGCCACTCTGTGTGAGGTGTTGGCAGGTTTATGTCACAGGTAGCAGTTTCTAGCTTTTACTGGAAAGCTTTTCGTCCTTAAGCTCACTTCCAATGTTAACAGAGTGCATGTCAGGACTTGGTTTCATGTTGACTTTTTTTTACAGAATGTTTATTAAAACGGCCGTTCTAGTACCACTCTTAGTCTCACTGTATGCCAACTCACAAAAGTCCTGATCCCTACTGATAAAAAATGGGAACAGGATTGGGAGCAATTACGCTGAGCTTTCTGAATAAGAATTCATTACTGAGTACACACAATTATAAACACAGTGGAAGATCACATTAAAATGTGTATTGTACGATGGCTTTATTTTTTAGAGGAGAAAATTTGATTTTACTCATGCCTCAATAGATAATTATTAGCAAAAGAGAGCATTGAAGAACATTTAACTATAGTTAACATCTTATTCCTGACAATGTATGTCAAGATATATTTTAAGTCATTTTATGAATGAATTCTTATAAATGGGGGGTGGGAACCTTATCTACTGAATTACAATACACATTGCCTGTAGAGTGTATATACTTATATGAGCAGTTATAAAATCTTTAGGTAGTTAACCTGTTATGCAGAGGACATACAAAGACATAAACACAATGTTACAATATAGTTTGTTTAACATAATTTTTACAGATTGATTTTGCAGCTTTGGCACAGTTACTCTCTGCAGAGCTTTAAATTTCATAGTTGTCTAACTCCCCAGTTGCTATTCAATTTTGTGTGTTTATGGCGTGTTTCAGTCTTATTAGTGGCTATTTTTTCCAAGCAACTGCTTAAACTAAACTCTCTGCTGACCTCCTAAATTCCCTGCTTTTTCCTCTTAATTTTGATGTGGAGAAGATTGCTATAATAAAGATAACATTTAGAAAAAATATAGTTTTGTAGCAGATCGGGTAATAAATGAGAGAACTATTACAAAGCCGGTCATGGACATCTTTATATTTTGTAAGAAATGTAATAACTAAATATAATATATGTTTTTTTTAATTTGCCCCATGATGGATACAAAAATCTAATCAGTTCATGACAGAAAGGGTCAGTATTAAGGACATTTGGACTTTGATATGGTCATCACGTGACTAAATACTGTAGGAGGTTTTTTGCACAGTTTTATAATTATAAGCTTGATTTAAACATCTTTTCTCAATAGGCTTTCTAATTCTGAAGCTTGCCTGGCTGCAGCTTGTATTTTTTAAATCATAGTGATCTCTAAAAGTTCAGCAGTTTCTTGTGATTTTTATTAAATTCATCTCCATTTTTTGAATCTCTTATGGTTTGTGTTCTTTTAAAGCATGCCAAGGGAGAAATAACTTTTCAGTTAAAGTTGTATTACATTAATTAGAAACTAATAGGAAAATAATTAATTGGGTAACAGAGGGAGTCCACTAACTAGTTTTGTTTGAAAATGATAGAAGTAAGTATTATAGTCATAGGTCTCTTTGAGAAGACCGAAGGACTGTGGCTTCATTGTAAAGAAAGGATTAGAAAGTGGAATTAAGTTTTGGAGATCTATTAAAATGCACTTTAAAAAAGGATGACTTCAGACATTTTGGAATATATATGTTGCTTTTTAATTGCAACTATATTTTGCCAAAGGAAGTTTACAGGGTTCTGTGATTATATGAGTGGTTCAGATTGACTCTGGCGGCCTATTGAAGTATGGAGCACTTCATTCAGTTTAACATGAAGACTTTCCTTTCTGAAGACAAACTATTAAGAGGTTACATTTTCTTTCACTGATGTCTGGTTTCTTATAAGCTTGATGTAGACGGGAGTGTTTTAAAATGCAGGGGAATGATGGTGAATTTTTTTAACCTTGTTTGTGTCTTTTAGACAGCTTACCTGAGTGCCACTTAGTTTAAGTACCATGATATAGTTAGTTATTCATTAGTTCTTGTTCATATTGAAAGCAAGAACAAAATTATTTTTGCCTGAGTACTGAGCTAGGATCTATAATACTCAATGTTGAAGTAATTAAGGTGGATTTATTTTAAATAAGAGAATGGCTCAGTATAAGATATTTTTTTTTAAGTTTTAAAAAAAGCTTTCAGGATAAACTAGCAAATTTATTTTTCAGTGATGTTTCCAATTTTTCTTTTTAAAATCTGAAGTTCACGAATGCTTTACTTGGACTTTGTGTCCAAGTAATGTCTTTTGAATGTTGTGTTTGTTGATTTCAGGTAATGATTTTGTCACTGTAATTGTGACGCTTAAATTTTGGCATATGAAAATTACTTCTTTACTATATTAGAGGTCTACAAAATAATACACTTTCATGTTCTAAACTTTGTATCTATAAAAATAAGTTAATAAACCACTTTTCCACTGATAGTCATAGATGATGACTCAGTAAAAGTAAACAATATTGAATTGTTACAGAGAAAAAAGACTTCCAAGACTTTAGTTGATCTCTTAGTTTGTCATTTTTGTAATTTTTAAAATATGTTTTATAGAAAACTTGTGCTTTTAAAAAAACAAAATATTTTCATTGTTTTTCTAATTAGAGACAATTTAATTAAAAACTTTTCCAGTTCTGTAGAATGTGTTTTAAGTGTTGAATCCCAAAGGCAATGAGATGCTAAAAACATTACATTTTGATTACTTCTGAATTTCCTTTCACTTATTCTATGTAGTTACATATTGAATTTTTTCTATTACGCCAATTTTTTGTTACCTCACATGAATATATGTGCCTTTACACTTTCATTAAAAATGGAGAAATTTTAAGTTATCTAATGCTATAGCGGGACTGATGACCTTTAGTAAAAGTTATAAAACTTGTTAGTGTTGGGTTTTGTTTTTTTTTAAACAATCGTTTCCCTGAGAAGGAAAGAAATATTGAAGTGCAGGAATCTTCCACTATTTTTCACTGAATTGTTCATTGAACATTTTACACAGAGCTTTTATATGAAGTGCTATAAACAGTATATCAGCTCTGCTAGAGAGAAATTTTGCAGTCTGTTTTTTTTTTTTTTTGGTAGCTGAATGTACATAATTATTTCAAAGGGCCATTATGGAAGCTGTAGTAAACTTGTGTAAGTCACAAAAAAGATCAACAAGGCTGTTTTTAATAGGAGTTTTTAAAGTTTCTGTACTGTTTATAAGGGAGCTTGCTTGGGCAGAAGCGGTTAGTCCAGTTTTATTTTGCTCTGGCTAGTCCAACACTTTCCAAAATGTTTCACTAGTTATCTAAGGAGTCTGTTTTAAAGCATGTATATAATAAAATGCAAGTGCTCAGATGTTTGTGACTGGCAGGTTTTATAGTGGGTCCTTGGGAAAAAATGCTAATATATTTTAAAAAACATATGAAGTCTGGGAGAGAATTTAGAGGGAGCAAGAGAACTATGGTGTTGACAGCTTTATATTCCTGTTGGGTAACATTCACTTACTAGAATTGGCGTCCCCTCTCAGTTAGTAATTCACTCCATAAGGATTTTGAAAAAAGAATGATTAATAGCTAGGAAATTCAGATTTGCAAAATTGTTGATTAAGCTTGCAAACCTTTTTGTAAATGAAGCTGTATTTGTATGTGTGTATTTTATTTCTAAGAAGACAGAAAATGAGTTCAGAGACTGAGTGTAACTTAAAATATTAATATCCTAGTAGTGCTATTTAATGCTTAAGTATAGAAGAATTACATGTAGAACCCAAATAACACAATCCGCTTTTAAAAAAGAAACAACCGTATAATATTTTCTTCTTAAATGAGAGAGACCAGTTTAATAGCTATATATTTTTCTTCATTTAACTCTGAAAACATGCAATTTAATTTTTTATAATATCTGTCTGAAAGAGAAAACTTTCTAACAGTTGTAACTAAATTCCACGAACAGTACTTAAATTTACCATATGGTTTAAATGCTTATAGGAAGCTGCAAGTATCAAAAATCTTCTTGATGCAGCGCATTCTTCTATGAGTGTTCCTGAACATTTTATAGGGCTGATTGCTCTCGGCTTTTTAAAATTAAAACATAAACATATTTTGACCTTCATAGGTACATTTCAGAAATCTGTTCAGAAATCTCTCAACTGACAGAAATGCCAATCAAATGTGACTAAAGTACTATCTGTCAAAATCACTGTCTTACAGTTAGTTTTACAGAAGAGTGCTAGTTAACTTTTGTTATCCTATATCTGTTTCAAGGATATAAATACCTTGTGGTGGTGGTAGGGAGAGGGTGGAGAAGAGGGAAGGCAGGAGGGGCCATTATTATACAGACTGATGCATGCAGATTGATTGCATTTGATATTGTATTCTGAATTGTTAGGGTATCATTTGAATGTTACCTTCAGTAACTGTTAACATGTTTTAATTGTCTGCATAGAGAACCTTTCTTTTAAACAGATCAGGTAAAATAAAGTAATAGGGTTTAGATGTTGTTTAAATCTAAGCGAGGAATATCTTAATATTGTCTGAAAAAGGTGTTTTTGCTATTTGAAAGGTCTGAGCATATCTAGGTATCAAAGTTATGAAAGCAGCAAAGCCTTATTAGTTTGGGAATTGGCAGTGCACTGTAGTATATCTTATACCATGTATACAGTTTCAGTGTAGTTGGAAAAACACTAATTTTTCTTTTGTTTTATTTCCACATGAATTAAAATAGAAGGATTCTTAGTTTTATGCATTACTAGTGTATCAGTAGGGCGAGAAAAAACCCTCATCTAATTTTAATAAGGAAAAGGAGACACTGGTAGATGCAGATATAGTCTGGTTAATTGTTAGAAACGAG